CCGCCGATACCTCGGCGAATGTCTAGGTCGTGCCTTTTCTTCCATGCATCCGTCAACAATTTTGTATAATACTTTATTCGACGAATACGTATACTTATCGCGCGTGTCCATACTCGATGGACTTCGAATTTACGCCCGATGGAACTCGATGACCCTCGACGGACAAACGATACGCGATCATGTACAAACGAACGATAAACGAAGGATACCGAATAAATTTGGTCGCAAATTTGTTCGACGTTATCCTCCGCGAACATACACGTATGTAACATGCGATAATTATATTTTGTTCGAAAGGAAAGCCTGGTTTTATTTCCTGCCCCTTCCCTGCGATCGATCTTCTACACTTACTTCTATACAAAACTCGTCATCGTCGTGAAATAAAATTTTATCGAAACGAAGCGCTGTTCTCGAAAAGTATCACGAATAACAGAGATGCGTTACCTTTATCCAGTTTTGTCCTATTTTATTTTTTTTCTTTAACACGCGTGCTCGGATGATTTGAGAAAGCGTGAACGCGCGTATACGCGCGAAGACATTACGGTAGATAGAGAAGAGTAGAAAGGTACGGTTACCGGTGCAACCGAAGCGCGACTTTCACCGATCCAAGGTAGTCGTGATACACGATCGATTACGCAAGCGACCCAACGAACGCGAACGAACGGACTGGGAAGAAACGCTAGTCACGTGTAACAGGCGATCGTGGACCGTTCAACGCTTCGTTAGAGCCATTTAACGCGTCTTTTCGCGTTAACCGAAGTGACAAAAATAAAAACAAGAAGAAAAGAAGACCGTCTGTTCTAACAAAAGGGTAGTGACGCAAGTAAAAAAACAAAAACGTCTAAAGAGCAATCGCATTGAATTTGGTTGTTTGTAACATTCGACGCGCCGGGTAAAGTTCATAGATTCCGATTGAGATTTGCAATACAACGAGAAACGGTAGCCTTGATGTTCAACGAAGCGGCCGAAAATGGGACCGCGGTGAAAGTATAGGGTAGGAATTACGACAAGAAAGTGAATCTTCGAGTGGTCGTCAAATATAAATTTTAAAGGACCTAGTTCGTGTATTGACGAAGATGCGATCGACCGCGACTCGCTCCGAATCGATGAAAAACGCACGATCGAGATGTTAAACGACAGAAACGAAACCAGAGAGGAAAAAATAAAGAGTAGGGTGAGAAGAAGGAGTAGGAGAAGGATAAGAGAAAAAGGCGCGAATGACGGAAGAAAACGCGGCGGTAAGAGCGAGTAAAGCAAAAGGTGCGGTAAGAGTGGCGCGCGTACCACGATCTGGCCTTAAATTGATCGGGCGAGCAAGTAAGCGGGTTACTTCGGTCCAAGTTGGTCGATGGGTAAGATTTCTCGGGAGAACTAGTGGCAAATTAGTCGCGGACGACCGGAGGAATCGTCCGTTTCCGCGGTCGTAGCGCGATCGCTCGAATTCTAAAAATCTACGCGTTCCGACAAAGAGAAAGTTAACGTCGGCATTGTCGATACTTCGAACGGTGCGCGTCGTTGGTGTTACTTCGAGGAGAAAGGTCCTCGAGTTTCTACGTGCTTTTTTAAATCGCGATCCTTGTGCTCGCGATCGCGCCATCGATACACCGGATTTATTCGTTCGCGTTCCGTTCGCGTAACGAGCACGAGGACACACGGACGACGCGAGCAGCGATCGCTAGAAAGCGCCGCGAAGAATCCTCGGGACAGTTATTCTCTCTCAAGTAGACCGATGTCGGACTTTCTCCTGAATGGCGAGTCGACAAATGGCGTAAGAAGTCATCGTGTCTCTCGTAATCGTTGGTAGCTCGCTTGAAATTCGAACGAGCGAAACGAGGACGCGGCAAACAAGCAAGGGAGGGAGGAAGCGAAGGGAGCAGGAACAGGAGAAGGAGGAGGTGGAAAAGGAAGAGAAGGAGAAGAAAAAGAAGGTGAAGGAGGAGGTGGAGAAAGAAGGGAACTGAAAACGCAAAGTAAAACGTAAAGAAAGCATCGGCGCCGCGTTTAGTTGTTTCCGACGACGAGGATGGCCATGTCGGGAGAAGAGGATTACGGACGCACGCTGAGCGAAGAAACTAGGTTGATCGCTCACGCCGAACTTCGCGAGGATGACGCCACTAGGGAACAAGCGTTGGACCAATTTCGGCACTGGATTCAGAAACATCCCGCTATAAAGCGATGCAGAACAGACTCTGCCTTTCTCCTCCGATTCCTTCGAACGAAGAAATTTAGCGTGCCGATGGCGGAAGAGATGCTCGAACGATACTTGACCATCAGACAATTGTATCCGAATTGGTTTCAAAACCTCGACATCGAGGATCCAGATATCGAGGCTATCATTGACGCAGGCTACCTGGTGCCGTTGATGGAGCGCGATCGTCACGGTCGACGGGTGATACTCTCTTGCGCCGGTAAGGATCATAAAGCTATATCTTGTTATAATACGTAAAGCTAATTATTCTTGCCACTCGACTCGTTTTCCTTCTTGTTCTCGCTTCTAGCGACGCACGAGTTGCGCAACTTTTATGATATGTCTACCGTTTTCTTTTCTAGGACGTTTCGATCCGTACAAGTACACCTCCGCTCAAATGGCTCGAGCTCACAGTCTGGTGGTCGAAGCTCTCATGGACGATGAGGAAAATCAGGTTCGCGGCTACACGCACATCAACGACGAATCAGGGCTGACAATGGGTCACCTCAGCGCCTGGTCTCTCACCGATATTCGTAACATGTTACGTTGTATCCAAAACAGTACACCCATGCGACACAAGGAAACGCACTTTGTCAATATTCCAAGTTACGCGACCAAGATCATCGAATTCGCCATTTCTCTTCTTAACGATAAGTTGAAGGCTCGGATCTTGGTACGTATTCGGAAGAGAACGAATCCTTGAGTGTTTTCTTCGATTCATCTTGCGTTTTCCCCTTTGCGAAGGTACACAAGAATGTGGAGGATTTAAAAACGTCGGTTCAAGATTCAAGAATCTTGCCGAAGGAATACGGAGGAGAAACACCGCTCCGCGACATGATCGGTACGCGTTTAAGTCGTAATAATGCGATCAACGAGCCACGTTTCACGTAATTCTTTCAACTTATCGAGTATTTCTTATTGCATGTTTCAGATGCTTTCAAGAAAACTTTGAAGGAACAAAGAGACCGTATAAAAGCTCTTGACGACATGTACATTGAGATTTCGTCGACGGAATATCAGCGTAATGCGAGCGACGGTTTAAGCGGTATACCTGGTTCATTCCGCAAACTGGAAGTCGATTGATACTTCTCTCCATCGTCAGTCTCAGTGGGGTCACGTCGTCTTTTGTTCACGTTCTTAGATATTTATATTATTTCGATGTATCATAATTCTCCTGCCGGTGGTATTAGTTACCTATGATCGTTTCGATTTTTATATACGGTATAGAATAAGATGCTGCGATTATGCGCATCATTTAGCGAAATAATTTCATGTTATTTTTTTTTATCTACGGTATAGAAACGGTAAAGGCGTAGCGTACGTCGATTCATGGCGACGAAAGCAGTGCGCGTTAACGTCGAACGTAAAAGAGAAACGTTTAGAACTGTTCCAAACACTCTTTCTGTTTATAATTTATACAGGATAATCCAACGGTTTATGCTACATCTGTATCGAACGATAAAAGTGTTGCGATATAACGCGTTCAAACATATGCTTTATCGATAATATCTCTCTTTATGACGCTTCGTTCACGTTTTCGAGCTCGAATTCGCGCAGAATTTTTTCCAAGAACTCTGCGTTGGAGGGTGCCGTGGTATAAAGGCTACCTGCAACACGCGTAAAATCGTACGATGATCTTGCTAATAAACTTCGTGTCGACCTAACGAATAAAAAACACTTGTTTACACCTGTACTTACCTAGGAAGTTTCTCACGTTATTGTCGTATAAAATAACTTTACAATTATTTCTGTGAAATATTTTAAATCCTAAACAACGAAATCGCTCGTCCGTTTTATAAAGGGTACTACTCTTTTGCAAATTCAAGTGTGGCTGTCCACTAAAAGGATTGATAAAATCTGCCCAATATCCCATTGCCTGCAGTTTTGTACAAATATCTGATGCTGCCAACACAAACTGAAGGAAAAAAATGAAGAGAGAAAAATTGTAGCACTCCATGCAAGTGGGTTCAAGGTACAAACACTTACATATTTAGTTAACTTTTCTGTCTCTAGATCTCTATTCCATCTCATCTGTTTCGTGTTCACTGCTTGGCTGATGGTGATCACAGTCAGCTGTGCTGAAGCAATATCCAAGCATCCTTGGAAAAGTTCCCCTATACCTTTTCTCAATAGTAAGGGACAATCTTGTGCAACACAACGAAGCAATGGTCTTTGCTGGTTGCCTCTAAAGCGATTTGATGGACAAGAGGTTTCATTGGACTCCTCGTCCACATTGATCTTGTCATTTGGAAAACTAACTAATTGAGTTTTCACATGGGCAGTGGTAGTTACGTCCGACCAGCCAGGGCCAATGCTTCCTGGCATGTAAAATCTAAAGCCTCTCGGTGTTAATAACTCCCAGTTGGAGTTAATTCCAAGCACAGTACCATCTACATCTAAAATTCAATTATGAAACGCGACTATGGTCTAATCATTTCTGTAGGAGCGACGTGAACGCATATAATTATGAATCAACGAATATACCAACCATCTAAATTTTCACTATTTGTTCGAACGACTTTGTAAGTGTTAGTGTTTTTGTCACTTCGTCGAGAGTAATGAGCCTTCGAGAAGAAATTAACCAATACTATGGCGTTAGTTTTCCTCGCATGTTGTAAGCAAAACATCTGAAAATAATAACGTTGCAAAGGTTATGTTTTGCGATTGTTCGACACATCAGCGACAGATCCGTTGCAGTGCCGTATACGGTTGTCCACGCATATCGTCGATTTGATTTACCGAAAAGAAATATATCGTTACCGTTGAGCCTCAATTCACATGCTGGATCGAAAATTTTCTTATCGAAAATACTGTTTGGCGCTTTTGATTATCTAACCTTGACGGCAACGATCACTCAGTTTCAGCGCAACCATACACGAATATTTATGTAAAGAAATTTAGCGAGAGATCGTATTCATCGAACGACGAGTTTTCGTTCGTTCTGCGCATGTCGGCTCTGACTGGTCCGACTATGTATTTTTAATTAAAGTAATGCACAAACACACCTATAACATGTATGGCGGGAAGTAAGCGTATTATACAAAATTTTGTTTTAGACCGTCATTGCCCTATATCATTATTCACTTCTGTCGCTCGCGTATTTTATTCTTGATAAGTCATATATAAGGTTATATACTGTGTATATGTTCAACGAGTAGAGTGGAAAACATACAACAACGATTCCAGAAGTAATTGCTAAGTGGCGATGAGTAAATGGTGAAAAGTTAACCGAAGTTAGCTGAGATGCGTGAAAACGGTACGATCTATCGTGGATCGAGTAATAAGTACCGTTTCCAATGACAATCATCGGCAATGTCAATTTTGTAGTAGGCAGAAACGCTCGATTCATTCGCCAGATGTCACGACGCGTTCGTCTTTTTTCACCGCGAACTCATCAAAAGTGTATTACCCGCGGTTGTTTCGAATCGTTCAATAAATTCGATGCGATCTACGTTATCGAAAAGTTGAAAAAAGATCGACATCGGCCGTGTTCGATCCTGCGTCTAGCGATTGTAGAATCGATAAAGTCGACGATATTGTGTAACTGCGGACAAAGGCAAGTAAACGTAAGCTGTGCTGCAGAAACGAGAGATCTCGAGACAGGAGGCATCGAGCGATCGCAGACATTCGATTCGCTAGAAAGGTTTCGCGTTGCTTTGCCGCTTCTAACCTAAAAAGTTGAAATGGCAGAATCGGAGCAAGATTTTGGAGACCGTGGCGATAACGACAACGTTAAGAACGATAAACTGTTTATTCTGAAGAAATGGAACGCCGTGGCCATGTGGAGCTGGGACGTGGAGTGTGACACTTGCGCTATTTGCCGAGTTCAAGTAATGGGTGAGTGCATAATATCGTACGCGATTCATAGGTTAGAACGTTGTTTCTCGATAAGTTGTCCTCGCTTGTTTTTCTCGTGGAAAAAAGTCGAACTTATTGTTATTTGCGCAATCATGTTTACGCGAACGTCTTTTGACGTATAAACATTCGTTCGGTCAAACCGAAGAGCGATCGCGTCGCGTGGTCGTGCATTTTGACGTATCAAGTACCGTGTGCGCACGGAAGAGTAGTACGATCGATAGTGGTGGGAGGTGTCGGAACGAGATTTAAAAGCGGGAGGGCAATTGTCGGAGCAGAAGGAAAAGGCAAAGATTAAAATATGAGTCGTGTCAAACGTTATACTTTAATAACTTACAAATTTACATACAAACTTAACGCGAGTAGTACAACTTTAAAGATATGTTCATCGAATTGTTGAGAAATTTGGCAAGCCCCTTACGGCCGAGTGGCACGCGGTACAAATGTTTGTCAGATAAATACGAACAACGCTATAAAGGTAAAAACGGTTGGACGAGCGCGTACCTATCAAAATAGGGTAAACTCGTCCAAGCTGACGTTCGAAACGAATCTCGATGGAACGCGTATTGCTCGCGATATAGTTGCCCGAGATCGTACGTTAAACCGTACTTATATAGGAATGTTTCGCGACGCTCGTTTCGTTTCGTCCTAGTACAGAGATTCGGAATGCTATCGCGACGACGAATGAATTTTCTCGTCGGAGCAACGAGAGCGGTATACAGCTCGGTTGCTAGGAAAATCATAAAGAAAAAAGTGTGCGAGCAAAAAGACGAAAGGTGTGGCGCGTACGATTGAGATTCAAATCGACCATAACGGTCCTTATGGATTACGACATCGACGATCGTCTCTCTTCTAGACGCGTTCCAAACAACGGGGAAAACGATATTTCGAATAAAGGCCTACACGCACGCGTGACGTAACGGATCGCGCGTCACCGCCGTACGTTATACGTCGATAATCGACGAAAACGAGATAAGGTCGGTGCATTTCGCGAATTCACGAATTCACGGATCGTTTGTTCGCGGTGTTCGTCGCTGCGTGCGTCATCTCGCCACTCGACAATTTCATCGATCGAAAAATAGACGCGCATTATTTTTATCTGCGTTTCCCAACTATAACTTACGATTTAATTCGACGACGGATGATGCAACTGTTCGTTAACGCGAATCGATATAACTACATATGTACAAATTCGATGGCCGACATAGTCACGTGCTGGAATTTGTCGTCGCGTTGGTCGAAAACCGTTCGTTCTCGACGATGACGTTATTGATTCGTTGTCGGCACCACGTATACGTGGTATGTTATTTTCTCGTAAGTACGACGCGTCACGGCGTGATCGCATCCGTGCACGCGTATGCTAACCGAATAATTTGCATTCGTCGTTTATCTTTAACCTACTCGTATACCTTTAGTAAAAGTACTAATTTGAGGTAGACCCTGTAAAACTATCGAATTAGAAAAATAACGGTTACGCGCAACGTCTAATCGACCGATCATTTCGTTGGTTACGCTCGCATCGTAACTCGTAGCATCGATCGTTGCGTCGCTCGCTACTACCTCGTTAAACGTTCGGCGATCGCGTTTCTCTCCTAACAATAAGTATATAGGAATGTTTCGCGACGCTCGTTTCGTTTCGTCCTAGTACAGAGATTCGGAATGCTATCGCGACGACGAATGAATTTTCTCGTCGGAGCAACGAGAGCGGTATACAGCTCGGTTGCTAGGAAAATCATAAAGAAAAAAGTGTGCGAGCAAAAAGACGAAAGGTGTGGCGCGTACGATTGAGATTCAAATCGACCATAACGGTCCTTATGGATTACGACATCGACGATCGTCTCTCTTCTAGACGCGTTCCAAACAACGGGGAAAACGATATTTCGAATAAAGGCCTACACGCACGCGTGACGTAACGGATCGCGCGTCACCGCCGTACGTTATACGTCGATAATCGACGAAAACGAGATAAGGTCGGTGCATTTCGCGAATTCACGAATTCACGGATCGTTTGTTCGCGGTGTTCGTCGCTGCGTGCGTCATCTCGCCACTCGACAATTTCATCGATCGAAAAATAGACGCGCATTATTTTTATCTGCGTTTCCCAACTATAACTTACGATTTAATTCGACGACGGATGATGCAACTGTTCGTTAACGCGAATCGATATAACTACATATGTACAAATTCGATGGCCGACATAGTCACGTGCTGGAATTTGTCGTCGCGTTGGTCGAAAACCGTTCGTTCTCGACGATGACGTTATTGATTCGTTGTCGGCACCACGTATACGTGGTATGTTATTTTCTCGTAAGTACGACGCGTCACGGCGTGATCGCATCCGTGCACGCGTATGCTAACCGAATAATTTGCATTCGTCGTTTATCTTTAACCTACTCGTATACCTTTAGTAAAAGTACTAATTTGAGGTAGACCCTGTAAAACTATCGAATTAGAAAAATAACGGTTACGCGCAACGTCTAATCGACCGATCATTTCGTTGGTTACGCTCGCATCGTAACTCGTAGCATCGATCGTTGCGTCGCTCGCTACTACCTCGTTAAACGTTCGGCGATCGCGTTTCTCTCCTAACAATAAGTACGTACAAGCCGAACTAGCCAGATTCTTTTCCCTCTTCTTCGTCTCGTCCTCGCTCTCCGTCTTTATCTCGCGCGGCGATTCTCTTCCAGCGCGGAAAGGTTATTCGAAAGCGGTTTGTTCGAGCTCGGAAAAAACTAGTCCGTTTCGGGATGCTCGCGCTCCGCGTTTAAAGCGCGAAAGGGAGCATGTAGAAAACTGAGTTACCGCGTACTACTATTAAAAGGGTAAGAGAAAGCGCGCCAGACAATAGGGACAGAGAGAGAGAGATAAGATCGAAGCAGAGAGCGATCGCGTTCGAATTCCGAGTTTGTGGGAAAAAGAAAGGAAGAGATAAAGAAAGAGAAAAAGAATCGATCCGGAAGACGATTTTGATCGTCTCGAGTCGCTCGTTCTTATCGGTAGGAAGAAGGAACTATACGAATCGTTCGTTTCGTAAGGCGATCGGACACGATTTCCTAGGGAACGAACGGATTGATTGGCTAGCTATCGATAGAAGAGGAAGAAGACCCGTTAACAGCCCATAGGCATAGGTTTCATGTTCGCGACTGCGCTCATTCTTCTCACCGGTCCGGTGAATCTCTTTTCGATCTCCTCGAGAGATCTGCCGCGCGTTTCCGGCACGCAAGCGATCACGAAGATGAATCCGATCAAGACGATCGTGCCGAACAGCCAGAACGCTCCGTGTGCCCCCATCAGCCACACCATGTCCTCGTAGGTTTTCGTCACGACGAACGTGCACGTCCAGTTGAACGCTGTCGCGACGCTGGCGGCGGAGCCGCGAATCTTCACAGGTAATATCTCGCCCATCATCAGCCACGGGATCGGACCGAATCCCAACGAGAAGCCGATCACGTAAACGATCAGGCTCATCAGCGGTATCCAACCGTACGCCGAGACGTCCGAACCCAATTCTTTCACGTAGAAGAACGTGCCGAACGTGAACAACGTTATGCACATCGACACAGCGCTTACGTACAACAACATCTTTCTACCCAGCTTGTCTATCACGGCTGCCGCCACGAATGTCGAGATGAAGTTTACTATGCCCACGATGATGGTGGAGAGATTCTCGTCGATGCTGCTTCCTGCGTCCTGTAAACGATTCGACGATTAACCACCTTGTCTTTCGCTGCTCGACGCGGGACCGACAATTCGGGAACTGGAGGCGTACCTTAAAGATCTGGACGGTATAGAAAATGACCGCGTTGATACCCGACAACTGTTGGAAGAACATTAGACCGAGAGAAATGAGAAGCGGCTTTAGATGATTTCTCTTGAAGAGTTCCATGAACGCGCCCTGCGACACGTTTCGTTCGCTCTCGACGTGCAACTTCTCGACGGCCGTCAGTTCGTCGGTGATGTCGGTTTCCTTGCCACGCAGCCACTGCAACGCCTTTCGCGCCTTCTTCGTTTTACCTTTCGATATGTACCACCTCGGGGTTTCGGGGATCGTGAACATCAGTATCATGAACGGTATCGGTAAACTTGCACCGAGTAACGCGAGATTTCTCCAATCCAGGTACATTCCGGCCACGAAGCAGATCAAGATTCCTAGACGGAGCAACGAGAAAGCAAATGTAAGCGCTTCGTCGATCGATTTAACCGGATCGACTCGTCGAGCAGAAAAGAAAAAAAAACAGAAGCAAACTCTTACCTGTGTTACCGAATGCGGTCGGTAACAAACCGAGGGTGCCTCGTACCTCGGCCTGTATCGTTTCACCGAGGTAGACCGGCAACGAGAGCGAAGCGATGCCGACACAGAAACCGCAGAGAGCTCGACCGACCAGGATCATCGCGACATTGGACGCCAACGCGATCAGTAGCCAAGCTGTAACGAATCAATGCAGCTCTCGTTAGTCGATATCGCGGCAATTAGATCGTAAACGCGAGCGTAAACTCACCCGTGATAAACGGCAGAGCCGTGCCCAGGATCGTGTTTCTTCTGCCGAGATATTCGATACACGGGCCTCCGAAGATACCGCCGAATAACGCGCTCAACGGCATGATCGAGCCAATCCACATACCCTGGAACGGAAACGTAGTTGAGCGAAATCTCGCTTATACGCGCAAATCGATGACGATTTCGTGGCCGGTCGTTACGGATCGATCGCGCGAATAGCCTTCGAATATAAATAAACGGAAAAAAAAGAAAGGAAATGCTGAGAAAGGAAGGAAATCGTTAAGGTGCGCGGCCGCGACAGGTTCCGCGGAGGGACGAAAAGAGGTGAGCGGCGTCGGAGAAGGGAGAACGAGGAAGGAAGGAAGAGGCGAGGGGAAAGGGTATCGATTAACGCGGAAACAGCCACGAAGAATCGGTAGTCCGATCGATACGCGACCGAACCTCGACGCGCCTCCGCGTCGAACGTCGAAGGTTGCGTTCGACTCGATCGAAACGACCAATCGCGACTCGTGATCGTCGAGGCTGGACCAGCCAATGACTAGCGAGAATGAAGGCGCGGGATCGTGATCGAAAGACGGCATTACGAGCGGAATACAAAGGCTTTACCCTATTGACGCACTCGAGGTTAAACTTTCAATCAAGCGTTGACCTCTTTCGATTCCCATCGTCGATTCTTGATAGCGCGTAACTGGGATTCGGTCGTCGAGAACGTCGATCGAAAAATCGATAGGTACCGCGGATCGATCCGAAGCAAAGAGTCCGGCGACAAACAGCGAGCTTCCTGTTTCCGTTATCGAACACGCGACGATGCTCCGCGTCGCGTCATGGAGAAGAAGCTAGCGTAAGTGGTCGCGTAATCGCGGCACGTTTTAGAAAACAAACGTGCGTTGTCTTGCACGCTTGGCCTTCGTTCGTACTTCGGATAAGAAAAACGTAATTCGGATAACGTTGTTTCTGCTTTCGCTCGAATATTCGAGATGACGAGAATCGATTCCGTTCGAGAGGCACGTTTGTTTTCAAACAATAACGCGCGTCACGGGCCGACGATTCCCGACGCGGTGGTCGCGTCGCGCGAATCTTTCCTTCGATAGCCGATAGACGTTTAATCGTGTTCGTTTTACTTACAATTTCCTTGGTAACTTCGAACGAGGTCGTGGCATTATTCTGCATAGAAACTAGTCCCGGCGAAGTGTAGGAACTCGAGTAACCGACCACCATGGAACCCAGCGACACCGACAAGGCAGCCAGCACCTGAAAAAAAACGATCGAAATGAACGGGACGTTAACGATCGAGGTCGAAAAAGTAACGCCGCGTTTTCGCGGTTACGCTCGCGAAACGGGCTAAACTCCTCGATGTTTACGACGAGCACGAGGATATCGCGTACACGCGATCTCTCTCGATATTCGATAGGAAAGGTCGATCGGTGGTTAGGCACGCGACGAACGCTAGACGAGGCAAAGGGAAGGAAAAAAATTCGGATAGCGGTTCGCGAACGAAATCGAACGGGAGCAGATTAATAAGCAAATTACGCAACGTATTTTTGTCGTCGATACCTGAGTGAAGGTGCATTTAGCGACTGGCGCGTTGCCCGGTAATTCGATGTTCACATGGGTATCGGCTCGCATAAGAATCTTCATGGTTACGGTCGAGATAGACGGAGATGGGAGGACAGAATGAACGCACGTCGAAGGTAGATAGTCGTTGCAAAATCGGCGAAACAATCCGGGGCTCGGGTCGACCGAGAGGCCTTCCGCGGAGGCGTCGCGAGCACTCGTATCAATGTCAGCCTATCTTACGCGAAGCGAATAAAAACGATCTTTCGATCGACTAGAAGTTAGCCGCACAATTTATCCGTCGTATCGCTCGAAACGAGCGAAACGATCGTACCGGATCGAATCGAATCGCGATACTGGGCGATACCGTAGGCGCGTTTCTGTTTTCCTCGATTGGCCGTTAACGTCTCGACGCGTTCGCGATCTCCGATCACAACCCTTTCTCGATCGCGACTGTCCTCGTCACCGTGCTCCTAGTCGTCGATCGTAGTCGTAGTTTTGGTCGCCGACGCAATGTCTCGTCGCTGTCGTCGACGTCGATCGCGTATTATGTTGACACGCTATTGGCACTCGTGGACCGACGGGTGGTTCCCTGTTTATATAGGGGAACGATGCTGGGGGGCCGCGACTATCCCTTCTTAGCTCGCCGCGAGGATCCATTGTCCGCGAATCGGATGATTATACGTACGTAAGCGTGCGTGTGTGCGCGCGCGGGGACGCTCTCGCGTACACGCGTGAACGCGTAACTCGTGCCATTCCTTCGTGACTCGCGGCACGTGGGGTTCTCTTTTAATTTCGATGGACCAGCGAAACGCGAAGAGGAAAAGGGAGCGCGTAACGTGACCCGAAAACCGCCAACAGGAGCAAGAACCCGTTTTGCGTTTCACCGAAGTACGAGTTTCGCTCTCGAAACGATACGAAACACAATTTGTCCAGTTTACTCGGATCGCGCGACCGTCGAGATCTCGCGGAAGGATCAAGATAATCGACGCGAGCCTCCGATCTCTTACTCGCGACCTTCTTTCGCGTTGCGTAATCCCCTTTGCAGAAGCACGCCGCGCTGCTCTTCTTTTCCTTTCTTGCGATCGAACCAACTACGCGGTGTACCGCGACTCTTCCGTCTCGTTCCCCCGTCTTATCCGTCTCGGATCGATTTGCTTTGATTCGCTTCGATTTGCCTCGATTCCGGTTCGATTCGGTTCGCGGAAAGTTCGGCCGTCGATCGAGTTCGACAACGAGAAAGGGAAAAGAACGCGGTTCCGATCATCTGGAATTTCTGCCGGAATGTCCAAGTTCGCGAGAGGGTCGCGAGCAGTTGTCGCGATCGTTCAACGCGGTTCGGGATATCGCGTCAGCCGCACATGTACGTACAGAAAAATGAAGTTGTTGGTTATTATCAGAAGCGTGCAAGGTCGCGGTAGTCAACGGGCACAAACGTGCATGCACGCGTACGATGCATGCATTTGTCTTTTGTTTTCCGTAATTGCTCGTCTTTCGTCGCAACGCGCGGTGGAGCAAAATTACGCGCGCACCTTCTATCCTCTGGCGTTGCGCGTCTCGCGTGATCAAATCGTCGGCCAAATCGTTGATTCGAATCGCAATCGACGAATTCGCAGCATCGTGACTAGAATGAAAGGACGTCGGCGGTGCGCGCTTTTGACGGCCGCTTCGACGGAAACGATAAGAGAGAAGGAGGAACGCGAGACATTCTGGAATTTTACGAGATAAAAACGACAGGTCGCGTGGCACGAGCTTTCATAACATCGAACGTATCGTGCCGCGTCCGCGATGTTTATTCGCGTACGATCGTTTGCGCAACGCCGAATACGACTATACGCAAGGTAGATGTCGTAAACGTTAAGATCACGATGCTCTCGCGAGATTAACTCGATCGAACGGGGCGGAAAAAGCACGTCTGGCATTCGATTCGCGGCCGTTTGCGCGAAATTCCGATTCCCGTGGAAACGAACGATTCCTTTGGAACGTCCGACGCGCGGAACGCGATCGACGCACGGAATTCCTTAACGAATCTTGAAAAATTTCCCGACCTTGTTCGACGAACGTTCTCTGTGCCGACGGGCTCGATAGGCTCGTCGGCGTCGCGACCGC